AACACAGGATTCAGTATGTTCTTTGAGTATCCTCTGACACCACGACTAAGTTGCTAAAGCAAAGTTTAACCAACTCTATACAGCTAAAGGATACGGTGTCCAAATCTTAGATCTTATCATCTTAGTCTTTATATTTAGTAATATCAGATGTATTGACTCAATTTCGTTTAAGGTGATGAAGGACAATGATATGAATAGAGCTGATATTTCCACTGAATTTCACATAGCCTTGCTTTCCCAAAAGTTGATAAGACCAATGCGAGGTCGAAACTGTATTCCACCCTGGATGAGAACAACTTTTGGCAAAGCAAGGTTATGTGGAAAACGTAAGCCCTAATCATATCAATGTGGGAAAATTCTACTACCAGTTCTTCATCATCTTAAACGAAATTGGGTAGTCTCAAAACTACTTGAATACAAAAAATTTATATTTAGTATTTATGGAGTCTAGTTCTCCTACTTAGTTTTGACTTTTGAGGAGCGATTTCGTCTTTAAAATGAAGGGTTGCTTTTCTTCATTTCATAAGCATGGCTCGGATACCTTAAACAACGTGGACTGATTGCTATTAGACAATTTAGTGTTTCTATTATGTCACTGATAATTGTCTGCTCAACTAACGAAATTGAGGTAGACAATTAATGATAAATTTCCAGCTCTGATGAATAAGAACTACTTAATTTTGCATCTTGTTTTTTGCAGACCATGTGACATTATTCGCTTTACTAAAGCTGTCGGAATATAAATATTGCGCCTGTTTATCATTTTATCAACATACCACTTCCACCTTTTTATTGTAAAGGTCATCATACGACTTGAAGCTTTAGCAGACTACTTAAGCTTTTTACTATTTTTCTCTCTTTAATTCTAATTGAACGAATTCATTATTTTTTGTAAAATAAGCTTTAATTGTATTTATAAATATACTTTTCTCATTTGCCTAAATGTACCATAGCCTGATCTATGCTCACTTTTTGGTTAAACTTAGGTCTCGGAATATCCGATGGACGCTTGGCACGAGATGCAATTGCAGTGGTTTGGGGGGGATTCAACAGATTATTCAGGCTACGATGGAGCCGCTTCCTCCCGACATTATGGCCCTGTTGTCTCTTCAGGTTCTGATCTCCTCGTCCCTACTAGTCTCAGTGGCGACTTCGCTGGGCAACTTGGTCCTTGTACTGGGGGCGTCAGTGGTACAGGTAACAGACATGCATACGGTGACTATGGATTCTCGGGAAACGAAGCTGGTTTCGGATCAAACTCTTACTACTTATACAGGAAGCAACAACGTCGCTGGTGGAGCGCTTACATTCTGTTTTACGAACGTGAGGATTTTCAGCATTCTGAAGAGTTGACTCGACTGATGAGCGCTTTCCGACGCATTAAGACGCACGATGGTGAGTGCGAAACCCACGTAGTGTCATATTTCTGTCTCATCTTCCTCTTTTTCTGTCTTTTTTATTCACTTTTACTCCTCTATTTTGTGTCCTCTCTATTTCATTTAAGAGGTTTGAAGTTTATTGTGCCTTACATCTTTATACAGACAAAAAGCATTTTCCTT